TCGCTGTCTGACAGGATTCCGTGGAAGTCTCGTCTCTGCTCATAAAATGATAAAAACATAAATACATAGTTAAAAGTAATCATTTAAATCAAAATACAAATTATTTTATAATAGTATACACTACTATTTGCAATATCGGATTTATTTGGATTAACGTAGATTATTATACCTCCACTGACATGTTTTATTTATAATTATGTTTAAAAAATCATTTAATTTTTAAGTGACCAAAAACATGTATTTTTTAAAATGTATTAAAAAATTATTTTTATCCATTTATTTATAGGCGAAAATAATGAAGAAACGAATATAATAGGGACTTCAGTTATAAATTATAAATGGTCTTTAAAAAGTTATTTATACATGAAATGGAAGAGATGTAATTCATTTTTTACTTTGGACTTTTTTTGGAATAGTTAGAAGATAAACAAACAAGTTTCCACTCATAGAAGGTGTGGGATGGCACTTCAATAAGTATAAAATAAAGATCACTTTATTCAGTTTTTCATTTATATCTAGAAATTTAATCTCCTAGCGATAAAAATAATCCATTAAAAAATTAAAGACGAAAAAATTTACATAATATTAGATATTATTATTTTTTTTTTATTGTTTTGTGTCATTATTACCATATCACTACGGTTTGTAGTATTAGATTTTAAACTATTATTAAATCAAATTTAAAATATCAGACAAAAAGTTGACCCTTTGACCCTTTGCGTAGCGTCAACAGTCAACACATGTAATAATTTTACACTAAATCTTTAAATGATCAAGAATTTCGTTGATAAAGAGAACCTCCAAAGTGTGAATTTTTACCTCTAAACTAGTCGGTAACTTAATTAGATGTAAATACATGTATATATATATGTATATATATATATATATATATATATATATATATATATATATATATATATATATACATATACATATACATATACATATACATATATATAGTTCCTTATGAATTATAAATAAGATGCATGAAGGTTTGTTTTCATAATTATACATGTTCAATTCTTTCATTTAAAATAAAGTTAATATCATTATAGTTCTTATTTTAATTTCTTCTATCGCTCAATATACTTCCACAAAATCGGGAATCTGTTTTAATAGTGTTTCTTGTACTCTTACCAAAATTAGACAACTCGTTTTAACCAATTTATTCCTTTCTATTGTTGAACTGACACCTTATCTACGACTATCTTGACATGTGACTTAAATTGAATCCTCATAGAACATTAAGCTGATAAGATACTGCAGGATAGTTCAGATCACAATACTCACTAGAAAAACTCTTAAAAATTAGGAATTGCTGAAACTTATTACATTAAAGACGTATTTTACGTATTATATATTTATAGATGGTTTTGACAATATATCATCTTATTTTTAGCAAATCTACAACATGAGATGGGTGCACAAATATTTGATATTGGAACAAGAACACTATTTTAGAAATAATTCAGAACTAAATAATGGATAATGATAGCATATTTAACAAATTATACATAAGCTACCGAAGAGAAAGAAGGAATTGACTGTGTGGAAATAGGTAATAATCTAACAGAGGAAACTGTTAAAACACGAAGATAATTATTATACAGGAGGAGATGGTCCAGTGTTGCGGTCATAAATAAGCTAAATAATGGTAAAACTATTTTATTGAAAGCCGACGTTTATAAATTATGTCTAAATATCATGTAATTGCCACAATTCTCTATCTCTTTGTATCTTGTCCGTTCTAGTCCTGATGAAGACCTGCAAAGTCGGGTCGAAACGTCGGCTTTCAATAAAATAGTTTTACCACTATTTAGCCTATTTATGACCGCAACCCCGGACCATCTCCTTCGTTTATAATGCAACGGTCAACTATTAAATATTCAATATAATTATTATACACTACTCGTAACAATTTCTATGATATTTGCTACAATAAAATCCCCAAATTGTTATTTTTTTGGGTTAAAAAAAAAAACAAAAACAAAACCACAGATATTTGGAAGATCTGTCATGGCTGAAATCAAAGCTGACAGGATGCAAAAAAAAAAAGAAGAAGTTTATGATAATTATTTTTTGTAAGAAAGAAAGTTTCCTTATATTTGTTTAAATCCTTATTTTTGAAAAAAACAATTAACAATGACTGATTGCTAATTTACAATGCGTAATAACCTTTAACTTTTAGAATTGTAACCTTATCTCGTATGTAACTGTCTTGAGACTAAAATAACGTACTCCCGATATTCGTTTAGATCTAAAGTAAACTAATTGCGAGTTAGTTTTATTCATGAGCTAACTCCGCCCTAGAAAGCTTATTCAGAAACTAACGAATTAAGTGGGCTTAGCCCTAAACTAAGTTTATCTTCTGACGCAACATGTGGCACTAAACATTTTTTTACTTATTTTGTGAACTACTCTTTCTTTTAAATAAAAACGTTAAAAAATAGTTGATGAACAATAATCACCGTTACATTAAATTTTCAAGCATGACAGTATAATTTAATGATAATTGAACCTGTACTAAAGCTGAAATATAAAAATAGATTCCCTTTTGATTCTGAACCAAAAATATGTCTTATGTGAACAAGGAATATGATCTTACATTTCATTCGTGTGTTCTACAAAAATTTCTTCAATAAATATAAAATGCATGTAAGTTATTTTATTTCACCTCACGATTAGTGGAATAAACTGCCTTTCAGTCTTCTATCTTTATGTCAGTGTGCAGGAGAGCAAATCAAAATTTAGGAATGGAATTCAAAGTTCTTAGAATCAGAAGTTTAATAATAATTTAATATTTAATAGTTGACCGTTGCATTATAAACGAAGGAGATGGTCCAGGGTGGCGGTTATAAATAGGCTAAATAGTGGTAATACTATTTTATTAAAAGCCGACGTTTCGACCCGACTTTGCATGTCTTCTTCAGGGAGGTGTGTTCGGTTCTAAGTGAAACTCCTAGCTGAACACACCTCCCTAAAGAAGACCTGCAAAGTTGGGCCGAATCGTCGGCTTTTAATAAAATAGTTTTACCACTATTTTGCCTATTTATGAACGCAACCCTGGACCATCTCCTTCCTGTAATAATAATTAAAAATAATCTTATATATAATAATGATTATAAAATTTTGCTTTGCCGGTTCAAATCAATCTCGTTGAGCTCAAGTTTAGTTTAATCCTTTCAATTATAAAAACTTATTTAATGATTAGTGGTTTAATTAGAGCTAGCGTAAGACTAGCCTAACTGATCAAAGTTACGTGAAAAACAGGAAAACATTTCAACATATTTGTGATGTTTTAACATAGCTTATTTATTCTACATAGACGTCTGCTTGTGCGAAAATAGTTCTAAATTTCCTCGTTACGGCGAGTGGTGGGGGCAGATCAGAAGGTCTAAAAGATAACATTTAATCCGTATGAGCGTCGGTTCACTCAGCGTCAAGTATCCACGAAGACAACACATGCACTTGAGGGCCCTCAGATAACAAATGTCTTAAGCCGGCATAAAAATGGTAAGCTGATTTGGCAAAATTTATATAACCTACCAATCCCTTAAAATACAGTTCACTGCATAAATAAGTGGAATGTTGCTCCTTATTTGAATGTTTCCTATTAAGAACTCATGAGAGTTATTTGCCTTAATTAAAATTTGAAAAGTTGCCCAAACATTTCCAGTGTAGTGATTTTTTGACTGGTATCTATAACTAGTATACATGTGTTAATTGTTTGGGCTTCATATAAGTAGGATGTCTGCTCCTTGATATGATACGATCAAATGTTAAAAATCCTGACACTAGAAATTTTGAGTTGCGCCTTATGCACTCTAGCCTTGCAGAAATAAAAATAATTTTTCGCCTGAAAATTCAGTTTCTATATAAATCGTAAAGGTGGAATCATTTCATATGTGGAAATTGTTTTATCTCCTCTACTTATCATTTACTTTAGTATATTAATGTGAGAAAGAACTAACTGAATGTATTAAAAACCAAGCCATAAAAAATTAAGAAATGCATAAATCAGTAACAACCAGTAATTTGACGTCTTTTTGGGTGTAATTTTATGGATAGAATCATTTTTAATTAAAGTTGTTTTTTTTACTAGATATTTTTTTATTTATTTAATGAAATTTACAACTGTATAAACAATGCAACTAGTACAAATGCACACATTAAAAACTGACTTGAAGAGATACTGCCCAGTGGTAGCACTCCCTATTTAATTCTAGGTGAGAAGATCACGAGGCCATCTTCTTTTCAGACACCAAGGAGGATTATCAGGAATCGAGGAAGAAGCAAGGCTGGAAACAAATGGATTCGAATGGGACTGGAGTTTATCATGAAAGGAAAGGTATCCGGCTCGGGCTAAATTAGCGGCATACGGAACATTAAGGTCTTTATGAATGGTTTTATTTGTGACAAAATATGAGGCATTGAGGCTTTAAGGCACGAAGGATTTTGGGTTGTGAGCATTAGATACGATAGGAATTCGATGGTTTGGTAGAGAACCAAAGCTCAACTCCGTATGCTCATATAGGTCTTATTATGTTTAAGTAGATGAATCTTTTGTAATTAATTGGAAGTTTAGAGCGTTTGTCTTGTAAGTGTTGGAGCAGTCGGATTTACCAGATATATATACAAAATTCACATATACATATGAGTACGTATAAATACAAATACATGTTTTCGGATGATGTATTCTTTCTGTTGAGTAACCTTTATTTATTTTTTTAAATCTTTATGTGGGATGTACATTAGTTTATTATGCATTCCCCATTCATGGTAATGTCAGGACAAGTATATCTATTTTAATCCAACAAAAACTTATCCTAATCTGAGTTATAGCCCAAGAATACAATCTAGTAATTTAAAATTTTTATTTATTTGAAAGATTCTTCAAGTTTTTTACTACTAGTATTTTTTTTTTCTCTTACGCCTGACTGAATATGATTCCGACCGACTTATCGACTGCCGGAATGAGTACTTATGTGCGTAGGACCCTACTAACGGTAGGTACTTCCTCTCTTTTGTCTTAGCCGGCTGCTACGTGAGCTGGGTCCAATGAGCAGTCTCTCAGTATCCATCCAAGGGCAGCCTTCCTTAAAAGATACAGTTGCATAAGTCGCAGTTGAGGTGATATAGTTCAAATATCCTATTTGTCACGGTTCTATTCACCGTTGCAATGTAGTCATCAAAATATCATTCAGTTCTTATAACCTTGACGTTATCCAACATAAAGCAAGATTTTCGTAATACATGGATGTTTTCATCTAATCAGCTACTAGTTGAAAAAAAAGTTATCTTATTAAATACCATTATAAACATTTTAGAGGTGTTATTTTTTATATATTACATGTATGTTTATTCAACGTTTCGGCTTCAGGAGCCATTTTCAAGAACCTGCAAACTAAATTTTAATTTACTTTTTACCATTCAAGTATAGCCTCAGACAATAAACTTGTATCATTCACCTACCATGCACCGTGCCATAAAATTTTTAAAATTTGTCATTACGATATGACTCGTCCTAATTCATTCTTTTATTTCAAAGAATGTCGTTTTCCGTTTCTAAAAATTATAATATATAATTATAAATTAAAAATAGACGGCTATAATTAATTTAAAATTTTTAATTTTCGATTTATATACCTCTATTTGCAGACGGTATCAAGAAAGTATTGTTCTTCAATAGGGCATTCATACAGGACTGGATTTACTTACATAAGGAGTGGGGTGGAGGGGTTAGTGATCAGCTGTTTTATATCAGTATGTTATATATTAATTTTGTCAATTGTGCTAGCATAAAACGTGTTTAAATTATCAACATCTGTCTGTTGATTCACTGAATGTTTTAGATTTTTAGTGATAAAAATAGATTCAATGATTCTACGTTTCCCAATATTTTGTTCTCTATGCAACACGGAAGCAGTACCGAAATCAAATTTATGTCCATTTTTTGTGGTATGCTGCAATAATCCTGTGGCTAATTTTGATTTTGTCGTTTTAGACCTGCAATTTTGTCTATGTTGCCTATGTATCCTTGTCTATGTATCCTACGTTCAAACCATTGTGAGGTTTGTCCGTAATATGCTTTATTTTCACAATCCTCGCATCGTATTTTATAAACAATATTAGTTAGTTTTTCTTTTGGAATAATATCCTTAGTTCTACTATATAATTTATCTAATTTATTAATAGGTTTTTTCCCAAATCTGATTTCATTTATATCATATTTTTTTAAAGTTTTTTTCAATTTTATCAGTTAAACCTCTAATATAAGTGACCGAAAAGTATTTTTTGGGGTTGGGGTCTGCGTTAATATTCTTATTTTTCTCATTCTGAAATTGTAGATCAGGATTTTCTTTGTTATGCTTATGTTTTTCAGTATTATCTACTTTAAAATAGTTTGTGATTAGATTTTTTTTTTTATTTTTGGTCTTGTTTTGATACGTTTTTATATTGGTATTGATGTTTGGACCCTTTATAATTATCTATGTTTTTTTATCTTTTATCTTTGTGCCATAATTTATTTATCAGTCTTATGGGGTACCAATTTTGGAGTAGAATTTCATATATTTGTGTTTTTACTTCTTTAATATGTATTTGTGTTATATTCTTTCTTGAAATGATGACGATGTATTTATACATTAATCAACATTTAAATGATAATGTATTTATATATTAATCAGACACATTATATTTTCAGGTTAAGCTTTCTGTTTTCTCAACAGAAACACAAAGCTTATTTTAATAAAGAATTTAATATATTTTTTTTCTTTATTGTTTTCTTAAAAGTGTACATGGGTATATATTTCTATATGTATATCTAAATAAATTTAATTTATTGAATTGAAAAAATATTACTTTAATTTGGTACACATGTTCACCCACGATAGAAGTTATACAATAATACAAGTGAAATAAACATGTATCTTTAAAAATAACAATATACTCCATACCGAACATTTTAAATCAATACACGATTTAGTCATTAAAAAATGTATGTATATTTATATATAAGTACCTATATACATATATACAGTTATATGGTAACAATTTTAAACAACGAAAAAAAAACAATCTCGTCTGGCAATCCATTAACGACAAAATCCTTTCAAATCTTTGTTCATAAAAATTTAAATGGATCATACGAATACTTGAACCCACAGAGCTTTATGAAAAATTCCAGGACATAAATCATAAATCAACGGGCCGATTAACTGACTAAAGAATGTAGAAGTGATTCCTATTGAACCCTCTATCCTAAAGACTATTGAAAGTTCGACGAACAACCGTTCCCTCGGTTTAATGGCTTTGACCAATCAGCTCTTTGCAAAACTCTAATCTAGTCCCTGTGTTGAAGTAAATCCAATAGGCAGAAAAATTCCTTTAAATCAATGTATGAAATAATTTAACGGGCAACATATCCGGCTTATATTTAAAACAAGAATGAAGTGGCACTCCGATTCAACGTCAAATTTAATTATATGTCACTCTCTGTGGAGGTTTGTGACCCATTCATAGAGAAATATCTTGCACATCTCACTTAACCTTTCCACCTTTGACAAGGTTCACCAATAGCGGTACCACCAGCAAATTCATTTCCTTAAGTACTTCCCTTTCATGAGCTCTACCCAATCATAAACACTGAATCGGGAAAGGAAATTAACTCAAATATATAATAATTTTATGTTTTATTAGATATTTTATTGCAATTATCAAAGTCTAAAATTATGATCATAAAATTATATTACCAGTATTATGGTCTGAAAATGAGAAAAATACGCAGTGGGAAAATAAATATCTCTGTAAAGAAAAACACAACTTACCCGTTTATCTCCCTAAGATAATCAAACTATCATCTATTACTATCAACAATTATTATTCTAAATACAAATATTCTATCAAATTATAATTCCATTGTGAAATATTATTAATTATTGAGATTAATAAATACAAAAGAGAAACAAAACTAATTACATTTTATTACTGAAAGTGAGTCTCACAAATAGTAAGTAGTCAAAGAAAGCACATACCTACAAAACAAGTTGACATGCACTACATCACATATCGTGACTGATTGTGCAAAATGTATGTGAAAATTGAGTGCTTTACAAAAGAGCAAAAACTGATTAATCTTCAGTCTGAAACTGCTCTATTTACTTTACTATTATTAAAAATACTAGATGGAAATAAAATACAACATTATACTAATACATTATTAAGAAATTCTCCTCTCCTATAAAACACTACATTTCTTCATACGATCTTTCGCACTGACAGTGTTGATATATATTCCATTAATTTATCAAAATACGTTGCACATCAAGGATAAACAATAAACAAGATTTTATAGTCATATTTTTATATTTGTTGCCACATTGTTACTAATTTTGTCGAAAAGATTCATGTAAATCGGACACGAGGACTCAAAAAAGCCATAGTATCAATGAAATTTATCAATGGAAAAGAATACTGACAGTAGGTTTTAAAAACGATTTTTTAGTGAAATGATTCAAACATAGCGAAGATCCATAATAGGTTTTAAAATTGAAAACAATTATTAAGGCGAAACGTCAGTAATAATAAAAGCAATAGGACAATATTAACGAAATAGGATATTGGTCACCTTTTACTAAATATCATTTAAATAATACTCGTAAATAAATAAAATATTTGTGTTAATATACGGTAATTATTACTTATATAAAAAAGTATTTTAGTTATCGCTCCATAACCAAAAAATAAAAATAAAAATAATAAAAAAATAAAATTAAAATAAAATAAAAAAAATTTAGATTTTCCTATTTTGTGCCAACGTTTTCTGAATTTAAACTTTTTGTTACCAATGAGGTGAGGTGTGGAATTATATGCTTGCTTTTGGTCCGTAGATCTTGATATATAATGTTAGTATTGTGAACAATGATTGAATTAAACATAAAAACATTTAACAAAATAAAAGATATATTTATTATTTGGTTATAATTATGTCACTTACCAATATTATGTATAAATATAATTATAAGTCCATCCTAATAAATACTTATAATCAGAGGTGCAGTCTACAAGGGGGGGAGGAGAGAGAGAGAGGGTCAAGAGGGGCGATCTCACTCCAATAAAAATGTTGTGGAGGCAAGGATAGCGTTTCACCCCCCTCCCCCTAATAATTTGAAGCAAACGTAAATTAAAAGTGATAACGAATAGGCTATATGAATGAATAAAATACATAAACTAAAATTGTTTAAGAAAATTCGACTAGCTAAGCTAAAGCCTATTAGTGGGCATTAACTATTTTATCACGAAATAAATATTCCCATTATTTCAATTTTCATTTATCCTTGGATAGATTAAAAATTAAAAACATATAATTTGATTTTATGATTCTTTCGTGTGTATACCTCCATTTTCACGTGATTTTCTTATAAATTTTCTGGAATAAAGTTGGAGAAAATATATTTAATAAGTACATCTATAAACATATTTTATAGAGAATGTGTTAATAAACATTTTTAGTTAACTATTCAGTCTGTTAAAACATTTTATTAAGATTTGGAGGTTGTACAATCTAAGAAAATAAAAGTATTTTTCAGTTATTAATATTATTCGTTTTCAGCTGAAAAAGATCTAGAAATGTAGGTATGTTATTGAGTCTTCCTACCTCTCGTTTTTAATATATACAAATTGTAATATATCCAATTATTTTGTTAAAATATATTTTAGTATATCCATAAGCATATAAAGAAAAAAAATCCTACAGCTGTCTAAACATATATATTAATTTATTTGTAAATATCCAATATGATATTTGTTCGTTCTACAATAATTATGTAGAATTTGTAAATATAATATGAACTACCACATTTTTTTTTTTTATTCCTCACCTCTCCTCTCCCCAATCAAAATGAAATGTCTGCGCCTATGCTTATAATTATATGTAACTAATATAAAAACTTATTATATGTAATTTTATACATTCTTTATAAAATATCGGTTGTCGAACATGTTAGAAACGTAGAAAAACCTGCCTCGAAATGTGTTTTGTTTTGTTTCGGATTTTCAATTTTTTTTTCTAGTACAATCCTTTATTAACTGAAA